TTGGGACAATGTATTTATAAAAAATAGCCATACTGGAGGTTTGTGGCCAGCCAAACCATAGAAGTGTAAGTACATAAAACTTTTCTTGAAATAGAATTCTTTTTCCTGATGTACTGGGAAGTCAGTGTTTTCCATTTCTTAGTTTCTGAGCTACTATTTGCTGTCATTCTTGGTTGCCCACTGCTATTCTCGGTCGTTTCTAGTGCTTACTCTTGGATTCAAAAGGTGAAAATTCGAAGAAGTGATATTATTTCGACCGAGTTGAACAGGAACAAACATTTTCTAGTTTGTTATCCTTAAAAATATCCTTTTACCATTATTAAGGAGAACTTCAACTTTGATCTTGGGAGGAAGGTAAGAAAAACCAGACTAGCAAAGAGGAAAAAACTAGCAGAAAGTGTTCTTCTTAGGAAAATGTTTTAACACAAAACATTGTCTAAGATTCTACGTAGAGCACTTACTTATTTAATTGAGCGCTTGAACCAAGTAATTATTCACATCCCCGAGGAAAATAATCACCGGTAACAGTGAAATCTCTCTGTGAAAAAACAGAATCCTTATTTTTTTTAAACTTTTGTGATTTAAAATTTCATTCATTATGAAAAATTATATCACCCTCACATAGCAAAGAATGTTGATATAATGCTGTATTAGTACTGACACGTCAGCAGCATCATTATTTATATAAAGTTGATGGACCCTGATATAATAGCACATCAAAACTATGTCAGTATTTATTTGTTACTGAATTATCAACAATAGTGTCACAGTATTGGCTGTGGAGGTTGATTCCATGTGGAAATCAGGGTTATGACAAGGTCATCAGGACACTGCAGGACACCGAAAAGACGTATGCAATAGTATTATGTTCTTCATAATATTGATTCATTATTGCAGTAACCTTCATGTTACTGTCAGGGCATAGGTTAATGGCTTGAAGAAACTGATTAAAGAAAATAAATTTTTTTATAGACGAGGCATCCTTCAGACCCTCCTTCAAACAAGTCTGAATTCTTTCCTTTAGACTTTTAAGGGATTCTCTTAGCCACTGCGAAATTCCATGGTCGTTCCCAAGCGGTGTCCCATCCAAGTACTAACTACGCCAAAAGTTACTTAACGCTCATGATCGCCTGAGTGCCGCTATCGTGTAGCCCTGAGACTCACGTGTGTATCAAGGATAATTCAGCATGCATAAACGTCCCGAGCGCCGATTCCGTGATTGAAAGCAATGATATTCTCAGAAATTTCTACATTATACTGTTTCAAAAAAACATGTATATGTAATTCAAAAAGTAAATCAATATTTGGAAAGAAAGTAGTGAATAATGAAGAAGAATAAGGTGTCAGTGTTTTATTAATGCAGACGCAGTAAACCTCTCCCCCGACAATATATAATGCTGATGCGGTAAACCTTTTCTCCGACAATCTTAATAAGATACTGTATTAGTATTGGTAATATTATGTCAACATCCAACAGTATGTATCAGTATTGATATGAGATTCTTTGCCATGTGGGTCATCTTAAGGAATGTTAAAAACTGTATAAGCTTGTTAGGTTACAGCTTCTTACATTTCTACTGAACTTAGTGCACAATGTTGCAGATGAGGATCCGCCGAATAGAAGTCTAACCAACTCACTTTATGTGTAGCCTTTCTTAAAAACAAGCAGAGGCTTTTCTTAAGGATCTTCACACTGAGTCACTAAACCTTTGTGTTTTTTATTCAATATTCTGGAAAAACTAAGTGAGTAGATTACGTGGTGAATTTTTGCGTATTTTAGGAGTCAAACTCCTGGACAAGCCCGGTTTTTAAAAATTCAGAAAACTTAAAGGAATTTCAAGTGTGCCGCAATAGCGAGAAAACGATGAAAGTGATGTACTATAGCAGTCATATCACTTTAGTGACCCATTGTAGAAACATCTCTGGCCGGGAGTTCAGCATTTTGATCAAGCCAAAAATAGGAATTAGGCATAGGCCATTATTACAAAATGAGGTCGAATTGTGGGATCATAATGCAACTGAACGTCACTATCTATTGCACTAATAATCACTAAATTGTTCATGACTTCTTTTGAGTACTGGAGAGCGTTTCCTGACCAAACGCAAATTCCGATTTCTTGACCCAACTTTATGAGACTCACCCCCCCCCCCCCCANGAATATAACAATTATATCAATACTGTAAGGCATCTCTTGTGAACGGTCACATTTGTCTCTGATTTTTCCTTCCAGCCAAATTACCTGTAAACAAGAAGCAAAACTGAACGGCGAACTAAAAATAGGTTGTGAACGCATACATGTAGATTAGCCCTGTATCAAGCACAATTACAGAGAGTAAAATTAGGAGGCCTCCCCAAAAGTGGAATTAAGTCTTGTGGGTATTGCGCCGCTTTGTGGAATTGAATACAACATCGTAAAGTTTCTTGCGCATGTGACACTTTTTAAAGTGGAGTATTCTGTGTAAGTTTCTGTAGTTAAAAACTTTCAAGCCCCTCTTCAAACCCCGAAGTACACTTCACACTTGGTATTTTGATCTCTCTGCATTCCTGATATTTGACTCACCATCTGTTTATTTGCTTTAGTGTGTATGACTTTGAAGCACCTATTGCTTGCTCATTTTTCTACCTGCCATTTTTTATTTTATTTATTGAAGATCGATGAATAAGATGTATTTATGCTGAAAGAAACTTGGTGAAAATGAAATAAATCAAAAATGACTATGCTTGCATAATTCTTTTCAGTATAAGTACACTCAATAGTGCTTTAGAAAAGTGTTTCAAAACTGAGCTGCTGAACGAGCTATTTAACATGGACCAAAGAGAGATCTGGAGGATCGGTTAATCCTTGCTGAACATCGCTAGATTCCACAAATTGCCTAAAATTGGCCTATACCGATACTTTTCCTAAAATTGATTTTGGAAGAAAGCCATAATCTGTGACTTCTTTATCAGACTCAAAAAAATTTAAGTGACACTATTACCGAGCCCTGTCGAGTTGAAGCTTATCTATTAGAGTTCACCTGCAGAGCTTTGCTCATCCCCTCAAATATTTTTAACACTTTCGTGTCAGGAACAAGCAAAAATATTGATGCATTGATGGTGTGAGAAACCCTAGCAATACTCTAAAGTAGACTTCATGAATTGCAGTCATCTTTAAAAGCAGTAGTTTGTTCCATTTTAATGTACGCCAAGTCTCACTGCCTTTGATTTTCTTCAGTTCAGCCTCCATTTTATTCTGTAGCTTTTTATGGTGGTATTGAATAAAAAAGGAACAACGCATACATTGTCTTGAATATTTTTACTTTTTACCTTTAGAAAAAAAAATAACACATTCGCACGCATGAATCATTCCTAAAGAAAATAACCAGAAAACAATTTCTCCAAATTGCAAATCATGCAAAATTCAGGCACAAAGTTATAAAAACATTTTTACTTACAGCAGTCAGCGATTTCTCTTTTATCCCATTTCTCTTTTCACAATATTTCCCCCCTAAAAAACGGAATCCATCAGACAGTCAAAATATGTATAAGTCCCAAACGGTGAATGGAAGTAAGAAAAGTCGGACTTTAGAAAGATGGGGGCGAGGCTGGTAGAAGTGTCAGTAGAGCCTCATTATCTCAACATAGCAATCATCAAATCAAATTTTTCCTTTTGGTTATCAGACCAAAATCGTCACTACCAAAACCATCTGAAACGATCAAAAAATATTTGAGAAACGTTAAGAGGTCCTTGTATTGACATGTGTACCCATCAAGCACTTTAAATGTTCTTGAGTGTACATGTTCCATTTTTCAACCACCCAATTTTCGTACCTTTTTTAATCTAAACTCCAGAGGATTCTCAAATATCTCAGATAATCAAGGTTCTACTGCGCAGTTAATCGATGAAATCTTTCAATACATTCCTCTTCGGATAATGAATATGTCTGTCTTTGAACATAGTTTGTATCCTTGACAAGACAAATTTCTACAAAATTTGAAAGTTCAAAGAGAAACCAAAAGGTCAACAGGTGATTTGCGTCCATTACAAAATCATGTTTTGATGCTTGAGTCTTTGAATGAGTCAAAAATAATAAGATCTGTGAAAATGCCAAGTTTTTTTTGAATAATATTAACATACGTATCTTAGGAAACAACGTTGAATGTGTCATTCGTTATATTATGTTAATGTTATTCTTAATTTTCTACCACAATCCACTCAGAGCAACCAGCACATATCCCCCCCCCCCNCTTGTAAAGTCTTTAGAGAAAAAAGTAATTGTACGCGCCAATACGGCGGATGTTAGCATGCACAATGTTTTCCAAAGGGTAATATTTCCAATATTTTTGAAAGGTGAATTTTAGAGTCCAGACCTAAGATGGAAGAACCAAAAACGTTCCACCAAAACGAGGAATTCTCACACAAATTGAAATTTCCTCCCATTTAATCACCACATGCTTTTAACATTTTTATAATTAAAAATATCTTTTATTAGTTATTATCTTTCTTAACCATCAACTAAGGAATTGATTACAAAAACTTGCTCGATGAGCTTATGTCATCAATTTTTCTTTAAGGTTCTAGGGATTAAAATTATAATTAAAAGAAGAGGAAAACTCTGAGAGTCGGGAGGAACTAAATAGCAGCTTTATCCATAATAAACCACAAACGAATTTTTAACAATTACAAGCCCATATCTCTCCTTTTCAAAATAAAATTTTTGACCAACGGACTAGAAAAAATTAATCTTAGCATACTGAATAAGGTCTCCAAGTATGGACGTAGCTGACTTGACTAAGAAATAGTCAACTAATAATAGGAAATAGGAAAAAATTTCACTGGAAGGATCTCATGAAACTTTCAATCCTTGGTCAGGACAATGCTACAAATACCAGAGACTCAACCATGAAAATTTGATTCTGTAAGATATGTGCTTAATCTACTCTATTCTCAGCTGATGATCTGAAGTGAGTCATTGCCCCCTGGTTGAAGCAATTTTAATCGTTTTTCTCTTTTCACCAGATCGAATCCAGGCACCCCAACTCAGCCGCGGAGGCCAGATTTCATTGGTGTAGGACGGAATGCGGATAGTAACTTGTTCTACATGTACAGGAACTCAGGTCATGACGGAAAATCTGAAAACAATTCGCAGAGGAAATTCCTTTCGGAAGGGGAACTTCTCCGAGGCGGAGAAGCTACGCCTGCATATCCTAGAAGCAACAACACAGTTGATAATATCCAAGAATTAGCCGGATCACCGCAAAGAGGATTTTATCAATGGAAAGATTCGTCTCCAAATGCTTACAGTCCTCAGCAGCGGCCCGGCTTCGATGAATACCGCTCCAATCCAACTAGTCCTATGCAGCGATCATACTACCCTTTGGTTCATGGTGGTATCCCTGTCTACCCTCCTCCCCCTTCCCCCCAAGTAAAAAGGAAACACTTTGTGCCCAATCAGCCGCAACAGCATCAAACGCCGGTGCCACAACAACAAATGTCACCCCCGTCCACACTCAGTGACAATCGAAGGCGGCCCATATCATTCGTTCGAGCACTAGAAATGTCAGACTCAATAGAAATGGCAGCTGCCTCATCTAATTCACAGGACCCAAGGCAGAATACCACGCCAACCTCTGATAGGCAAAGTGTGTATGATATGAACTATGAGATATCGGTCTAGCCAATGTAATCTGTGCACAGTTGCACGGAATTGTGTTTTTTACAATTGTATATTTTTCCACTCAAACTCTTGCACATAGCCTCTACGTTTTTAGTCAGGGATCCAGAGTTGGTAAAGGAAGAAATTGAACGAAAATTTGATAGTCTAGTCACTCGATGCTTTGCTCAAACTTGTGGAATGCAGGAATTTTGTAGTCTAATCAAATGGAACAATTTGCTGATAAGTGTAAATTGAGCAAACTGGAATGGAAGTTTCCAATTACAATCCCTTAGTAATGTACCATTTCCAAATGCTTAATGAAGTAATTTTTGTAAATCTACAAATGTTGAACTCAGTTTCAAAGGCTAAGCCTGACTCAGAGAGCTGAAAAATTGATAAATTGTTTTTGATATGGACAAGGTACAAGAAAGTAAGACCATTTTCTTCTCGTTAAAATAAGGTTCCCAGAAGAAAATATTTTTTTATGTGTACTTGTAATTAAACATTTACAATGAGTTATAGGTTATATTTTTAGGCATTTACCTTGATTTTCAGTTCTTTCTTGCTAATTGAGTAAAATGTGGAGCAAAATCAAAGAGATTTGAAAGTCAGTTTTAAGAGTTGGACTTGCACCATTTAAAATGTTTCATTTTGTAAGTAAAAAATGTTAACTAATAGAATCTACTTGGGAAAACTCAAAATTTAGTTTAACTCAGAGCCCAAAGTAAGAGAGCTACATGTCTTTGATTGACTCGACCTGAGTCAGTTACAGGAAGCCATTTGCATTGGAACATTTTTCTGAAATATTTTTGCAAGAAATTTGTGAATTCTCAAAAGTTTTAAAGGTTATGGAAGAAAGCATCAGCAATATCTAGTGAAACAGTAGACAGTCTAATTAGAAGAATGAATGACTTATTTTTAAAAGTTTAAGACTGGCACTGTAATTTCAAAACCAAACTAATCAGTAAGCCCATCTCTGTCGCATTTGAAAAATACTCTTTTTCTACTGAATGAAAATTTCTCACGCCCCTGAATACTTCACTTTTTTTGCAAATTTTTAAGGCCTCGTATACCCTTGAATTTGGGGGGGGGGGTGCATCAATGGTTTTGGAAATCCTTGTATTCAACATTATCTGCTTATTTCGTTCACAAATGTTCAGAGGATCGGTCCTCCTTGTTGTGCTGTGGGCAAAATTTTATCAAGTGTTGCTTGCACATCATGGACTTCTGAGCTATTTACAGCTGTACATCTAATCAGCAGAGAACAAACAAACAGAAAAAAGAATCTCCTTTTTCTCAGGCATTCTTTGAGGCCTCTATAATATTTTCTTTTTTGCTCATATTTGACAGTAGTCGAAATTTGTGTTTAAAGTCCTAGAAAAATCTATAAAACTCCCTAATTTTAATAATGTAACTTCCTCAAAGAATCTTCGGAAATCATAGATTCTGGTTTTAAAAAGCTAAAGTTTATAAACCTCGAGTTCTTGATTTTTATGACAGTCTAATTCTTCAAATAGTGAAGGAAATATTTCTTATCAACTGCAAACTCTTGGCTTCATTTTGATCGTTTTTGTATTTTTCTCTTGCTTTTTTTAAATGCATCATCGTGACGTACGCAATGTACAATTGACGCCTTTCATTTTGACCAATTTGAGAGCTTTAACTTCCAGTGAGAATGGCACCTAGAGAATTTGCACTCGCTAATCAGTGAGATCATATTATTCAGTACAAAAGAGGATTGTATAAATGGTCTGAAATGTTCAATTTTTTGTTAAGAACACAATTTCCAAGTGAAGTGACACCAAAAATATTTTTGGCATGGTCATTTGTTGTGATTCAGTCAAGCATCAGAATTGTAAAGTTGTCATGTGTTACATTTTTTATTTTTTAATTTTTCTCGTGCAATTTTACTGTTCATATCTCAAATTTCCCATTTTGAACCTTTTATCCTGGTCGCAAGATGCTAAATATCAGTATTTGATGCTGGTACTTCAGTTCCTGCATTTTTTTTTTTTTTTTTTTTTTTTTTTTTTTTTTTTTTTTTTTTTTTTTTTTTTTACAATTAATTTTTCGACTAAAAAATGTACACTTCCAGACCCTGGAAACTGTCCTATTCTTGTTACCAGGGCTCAAAGGGTCAAATCCAGTTTGTATCAGAGTACATGTGTTTTACATACACCTATTGTATTTCAACAACTTTCTTTGTTACAAAATTCCTGAATTCAAGAGTATTAATGGTTCACCAGCAGTGTATCTAAATCGTTCAGTTTAGTCTCTGGTTTGCTTTTTGGCTTATCATTATCATCCCCTAGACAGTGCAGGGTGGCCAAATGTTCTGACAACTCAGAATAATTGGTAACAACCTGGCAACGTCAGAAAATAGAAAGTTGGGTGAAAAACCAGGAAAATTAAATTTGAATCAATAGGGCTCATACTAACTTTAAGTAGAGCTTGAATAAGAATATCCCCCCCCCTCTAAAGTCTCTCATAACTGCATTACCAGCTTATTTCCAACTTTTATGAATCTAAAATTGACTTATCGTCTGGGTAACTGCAACCAAAAGCGTCCTAGCTACATTATATTCATCTTTTTCTTCTCAAGGGAAAACCAAGCAGAATTCTGTCTTGAGATGTTTCTGTTTCTCTTCAATCTTGGGGAAAGCTGTAAATTTCAAGGATTGTGTTGCTTAGTTTTCTGGTAAAAATACAAATCATGAGAGGAAATTATGCAACACTTAATCTGGTTCAGTACAAGGTAAGTGAAACGATTGCTCAGGTTTGCTCTCGCTGACCCCTTTGGCCAGAATGCAACTTTTTGTTCCCGTTAGAAGAGCCACAAAGATTCAAGGTGGTGGTAGCCACCCCGGCCCAATCCTAAAAAGCTCCCCCTAAAACGTGAAAGACGACTGGTGGCTGCTGCCTAATTAGATACACAGGAGAAATCTCGATCAGGCTCTCCTGCGGCTTGTGATCGATTTAGCTCTCTTGCCAGTTAAGTGGTAGAATAGGACCCAAAAGCTCCGTAATATTTGGCAAGAACATGCTCAGTGCTACTCATAGTGCCCACCTTTTTTGAGTTAAGTTGAATATTAAAAAAGTTATTAAGCTTTAACGACATTTGAATTTCAACAACTCTGCAGTTTCGGCAGAAAACAAATGGAACCGTCTGCTGTTAAGAAATTGAACAAATTCAGTGCAAGCAAATTCGTGAAGAGTGGGAATTCATTCGTTTTCAGCAATGTGGCTGTTCGTTTATTTTTATCAACCGTAGACTGTCATATTTGTTTTCAGCCAAGACTGCTAAGTTGTTGAAATTGAAATCTTGCGCCTCAGCTCTAGTGACAGGAAGAGGAAGCTGCATCTGAGCATAAAGGGTTGGCAAGTGCATACTTATGTTCCATTTACCTTGTGTTCAGCCAACCGCTATCAAAGGTGTGGAAATATACTCACCAGCAGCGCCAGGTTTACATTCTTAGTCCTGTAAATGCAAATTATAAATATTTGTATCAATTTTTGTATGTCCTTGGTTACGAGATTATATTTTTTTAAGCTTTGCTTTTTAGGCTGGTGCCCCAGAATGTAGGGAAAAGACTACGCACAGAAGAAATTTGGCACTGACTGAATTTCGAGATTTTTTATATGATGTTCCCTACGATCTCCTGAGTAAGATGAGCGTTTCAAATTAAATTCTGTATGTGCCACAATCTCGAGAAAATCTGGTCTGAAAAGTGCATTTTTCGGAAATTTAACATGAACTCTTATCATATGGAGAAGGAGCACCGTCACTAAGTCAAAGATGCAAGGCATTTTGTTTTCAATTGAGTTGCCGCACCATCTTAACTCTCCAACTGGCGCAAAATGTGGAGAGTGGAGCTCAACCCTCAATCATCTACATTTTCCACCCCATAATGCTAGTAAAACTACCAAAAAATGCACTTTTCAGACTCAAGATTGACACATTGAAAGTTCGATTTTAAAAGCTCATCTTACTCAGGAGATCCTAAGGAAAATCATGTAATAAAATCTTGAAATTCAGCTGACGCCTAATTTCTCAGTATTCCGTGCATACTCCTTTCGGGAGGAAAAGAATTTGACCACCATGCTTTGGAAACCGCCTAAGGTGCCCCTTTTTCCTTCGAACAGAGAGACTTCTTTACCCCCGGAAATGCATGAACTTTAACTTTTTGACCCGTAGGCTGATTATTGAAATTTAGTTTTTATGAAGCAAAGATTACTCTGAAATAGAGGAATGTAATCAGTCAATTGAACCTTGCAATCCTTATTTTGTCTGATCAGATTTTAGATAGGTAATTAATAAATGTTAAGGTGCCAATATCCCATTTAGGATACGACCCTCCACAGGGATCATGTGATACAATTGTATTCTCCGACAAGAACTCAAGTTCAGCATTCAGCCTGCTGCTCTCAAAAATGAAAAATTTTGGCCTTATCTCAAGTGAGTTTTGAGTAGTTTTCAATATTAAAACTCTTGAGAACCCTTTCAAATCAATTATCAACTACCTAAATAAAAAGACAAGTTTTTTTAAAATAGTTTTACTTTGTGCTCTGTTCGAATTGTAAGCAACTCAGTTCCGAAAGAGCAAATTTCTTGTAAAATTAATGATTTTTTCATGGAATTTCTATCAGTGAATGGAAATAAAATTTGTTCTTCTCGGCTTATCAGTTTTATGTATCAAAGAACATAGCCCACATTTATGTTTGTATGCAATGGAAGGATTGAATTTTTGGCTAAGTAGAGGGGGGACAAATTTTTATCAGTCAACCTTTCAATCTAGTCAAAGAATTTTTGAAGCCCTGTAAAAGTAAAAAACTTGCAGCAAATCTTTCCTCATTCTCTGAGTAAGGTATGTTTTGTAAAAACTGCATCTTCGTTCTGTGCCACTTCCTTACTGTACCTATTTTAGTTATTATTTATTTCTTTATTAATTTCTATGAAACTAATTTTATGTGTAATCTTAGCAGAAGATATGATTTTCTCTTGTTTTTTTTTGTTTCTCTAAAGTTTTGTTCCTTTTACTTTGTTAGTGTTTAGTTCATTGTTACATTATTTATTCATATTTGCCTGTACATGTAAGAGTCTGAAGTGATCTTTCTTTTTGTTTTTTTTTTTTATTTTTTATTTTCTTCCTCAAATTTTTCGGTTTTAACCTGTCGCTGTAAATTTTTAATGTAAGTTAATTTTGTTTCATTTTTTCCATTGAAAACGAATCCGTAACACCAAGATTAAGCGTAGGACAACCGAAATGATGACGATTCTAAAAGTCAGTGTAGAGAAGATTGGCTCTGCTGAATGTTTTGAAAAGACGCTCACTTTATGTACTTTTTTTCTTCAGCAAGAAATTGTCAGCCCCCCCCTCCTCCTCCCCTTTCCATGTTAAAACTCATTGTCAGGATTCAGACACCTGTGTTCTAATCTTGTCTCTTCCTTGCATGATTGCTGTAATACTGAACTGAATCATTTAAAAAAACCGCTCTAGTTAATTTGGTTATGAAAGAAGTCTATTTATAGTTAAAGGCACATTTTAATTTGCCTTGTCTTTTATAGGCCCAGAATATTCTGGTGGGTGATCTGCTTTTGTTCAACGACCTGTTTGAATTTATGGTATCTAAAATTGTCTAGCTCTGATATTGGGCTCTTTTCATAAGTGAGATTTGCATCTTTCTGTCAGTAGTATACAGTGAAACCTCAATAACTCGGTTTCCATTGGGACCGAGGAAATTTACCGAGTTAAGCGGGTTACCGACTTACGCGAACTGCCACTTTTCAAACGTAACACAACGTAAACGTGCGTGTAGAGTGACTTATAGGTGTGTTTTGGAGAGCCATTTGATCGAAGAAAATGGTACTAAATGGTAAAATTTCATGAAATGCACTTGAAATTGCGTGTTGAAAGTGTCAGGGCATCATGAAGTCATCGGGTCAATCGTTTGTTGGGGTGCCGCGCGGTGATGCGCCGCGGCCGCCCGCTATGGCGGGTCGTTGCACTGAAAATGCAACGTATCAATACTCGCTAAAATCCTCAAAAAACTCTGCGGAAGATTCCTGGGGGGAGCGGGGAAGGGCAATGCAAGATGGTAGGGGGAGAGGGGCTGGTGCCGACTGGACCTGTCAACTCATCGATGCGTGAAATTGCTTAATTATGCATGCGTGTTTTCACACGCGCGATAAGATAAACACGCGGTATCAGATATCCTATTCTCTACTGTTATCATTTTTCGTGTTGTTATCGAGTGTTTTTGATTCCTTATCTCTCTATTTCCGATGTTGTCTCTCGCACTGCGCTGCGCTCTCTCGGAGATTTGCTCACCCCTCAAGGTGTAACTTGACCCGACCCGCACGTAAACACTACCTACGCTTGATCACGGGTGACGATCGAAGAAAAACAGGTCGAGATAGAAAAATCTCACCGAGTTAAGCGGTTTCAGAATCTGACCAAACCGAGCTATCCAGACTTATTTAGCATTGTGTTATATGGGTGATAAACGGGACCGGGCGATTCTA